TGTAAAAGTGAAAGAAGAGAGAAGGTGAATTTTAAGTTATAACTTTTTTTTTCTTATGTGATCCAGTTGATGTGAATGTGCAATCCCAGGAATCCATTCCCCTCACAGCGTGGGCGTGGCATGGCCTACGTAACAACCTGGGTGCTATTCTGCTTCCAGCATCCTTGTAAATATACACAAAGGCCCTGATGTCCAACCCCCGGCCCTTCAGTGTTTTCCATGTGGCCCCTGGACCCCAGCTGTCAGATTTGTAATGGGGCTAGTGATTTCTAGCAGTCTTTTCTAACATATTTCCAGTCCCTGACTGTCAGCTACAGCATGTCTTCCACTACACCTGTTGCATTTCCTGATGTTCCCTCCAGTAAGTCTGCGGTAGCATTACATATGCTGAATATTATGTGTGGCCCTTTAGTTTGGGCTCCCCTATGACTCACGATTTGACAACCACAACACTAAGGCCTGCACAGATTCTGGACATATCATTGTGTCCGGTGTGCAGCATTCAGATTTGGTTTGCCTCTAAGGGGGAAGGAGGGGCACTTTGGGCACCTGAAATGAAGTGTGTGCATTTGATTGTGTGTTTTATATATAAATATAAACACTGTATATATAACTCCAGTAAAAAAAAATATCGGAGATCATAAAACTCGGTCTTACAATGTATCCATTTCCCCCATTAAGGTTTCTGTTAAAGAGGGTCCTGCAGCTGCAGGCGTTGAGTGAAGATGATCGCCCGACGACGCACAGTTCCAGCTTATCTCTCAGCTTTGACATGCCGAGCGTGAGTGATGGGAACCTGGACATAAGTCTGCCCAGTGTAGCTGACAATGGCCTGGGAAAGAGGCTGAAGAAGGACAAGAGAGAAAAGGGCAAAGAGAACAAATCGGAAGGTGAGTATTATACCCTATAGGTGGGCTTATCTGTTAAAGAGAACCTGTCCTTTCTGAAAGGAAGCTGCTTACTTACTCAGCAGGGCTCTAGCCACTATGGGCTCTCGTGGGGTTTTTTTTTAATGCCGTATAGCCAACATTCAGGATTAAGGCGCCCTTTTTTTTGTTAACATTTCCATTAGATATACTCTGGTGATGGTAATCCATGTACTTTGCCGCACTCCTTACTGAATATGCCAAAGATAACGGGTGCTTGTAATGAATGCGGATGGCGCCGCTCAAAATCCTGTAACAAATCCAAATGTCACCAGCACTCCAATACGAAGATTCACGTCAGTGCAAAACTATTTTATTGATGGATGTCAAAAGACAAGCGCTTTCGGGGCCGCGCAGGGTCCCCTTCATCAGGCTCAATAATGTCAGGGTCCCCTTCATCAGGCTCAATAATGTCAGGGTCCCCTTCATCAGGCTCAATAATGCCAGGGTCCCCTTCATCAGGCTCAATAATGCCAGGGTCCCCTTCAGCAGGCTCAATAATGCCAGGGTCCCCTTCATCAGGCTCAATAATGTCAGGGTCCCCTTCAGCAGGCTCAATAATGTCATTATTGAGCCTGCTGAAGGGGACCCTGCGCAGCCCCGAAAGCGCTTGTCTTTCGACATCAATAAAATGGATTTGCGCTGATGTGAATCTTTGTATTGGAGTGCTGGTGACATTTGCATTTGCCCCTGGTGTAGGTGACTCCATTAAAAGCAGTGTGCTTGTGCAACTCTCAGGATCATTTGACCGAGTAAGCCCCACCACTGCATCAAAGTAAGATTTCTGCTAGAGATAAAATGTAAGCTCCCCGTGATACCTGCTGGTACCTGTTACACCCCGATGCTCAATTATTCATATAGCAACTAAACGTTTCACACTCCTGTTCTGATTTGACCATTTCTGTCTCTTACACTTCAGTACTTGTCAGTGAGGTCACAAATCCTAACGAGGAACCAATTGTTTCCTACAATGAAAACGAATCTAAAGCGCCAAACGTTGACCAACAAATGAAGGATAATTGCAGGCGAGGATTACTAGGGGTGCTGCCCCACTTCAGCCTGGGAAGCTGCAACACTATGGGAGAAAACAAAAGAGAAGGGCGCCCACCCTAGTGTAGATACTTTTAATAATATATATTGAAGTAACAATAAAAACATTGAAGTAACAATAAAAACATACTCACAAAAGTGAATCAAGATAAAAGTGTAATAGGTAAGCCTGGATGACATCTGAAACAAGCTGCACAGAAACCTGTGTAACAGCACAGGACTCCTTACAATGACGCGTTTCCGGGGCCACGCCCCCTTCGTCAGATTGTTTCCTGCTCGGTGGGAGTAACTTGTCAGAGTTTGGTGGACCTGCTGTGGTACTGGGGGTGTCATCTGACTAATAGGACAAATGCTAGAGCGGTGTAAGTCCTCGGACGTTTAGAGTAAACAGCAGAATCGTCAAGCTGATGGTCGCAAACAGGACAGACAAACGGATCCTAAATGGAGTCCAGTGTCTAGACTGGTACACAAAGCTATGATCGGTATAAGCCCAGGCAAGCTGAGTACAGACACCATCCAGATAATTTGCAGGAGTAATCCATGTCATAAACAGACATACTAACCTGTTAATCAGGAGCAGGATAAATGTCCAGCAGTCTATTTAGGAACTCCTAATTGAGACAAGTGTGCACTGCAGAGACCCGAGCTGCAGTGCTATGTGATGATCAGCAGATGGAGATGGTGAAGGTTCAAAGCTGATCATTCCAAAAATGTTACATTCTGACACTAGAAAGTTTCTAACAATGTATAATTGCAAATTGGATTGAAAATGAAGCCAACATAATTTACTTTTTTTTTTCCCCTCAAATACATCATTATGTCCTGTGCTTAGCATAGCATCTTTGGAAGATAGGTCCTCTTTTAACTTTCAAAGTATTTTATTAATTTTCCAAAGTAGAATAAAACAATAAAATAGCACATGATGCACAATCAGTATAGCATACAATTGCATTTCAGATTCTTCCACATTAGCATAGTCAAGTAGTAAGGGGGGGATCACTAGAAGCCATACACACAATATATAATAGTTCTGTAAAACAGATCATATCTATCACCCTATTCTTGCCAATTTATCCCCCATCAGCAAAAACAAAACTCAAAACAGTCGGAGAGGAATATCTGGCATAGGGATCCGCCTATGTCTGCAGAAAACATTTGTTGTGATCTCCTCCTTATCTTTATAAATAGAAGACTTTCTGTCCAACATCAATGCACTAAACAGCTCACGTGTGCGAGCATAATGGAAAAAAAAAAGACAGACAAATAGGTCCTCTTTTAATAAGGCCAACATAGGTGCAGGTATGCGAGTATAACCATTGCAGAACAGCAGCACTCTCTTAGATAACAATACAAAATCTGTGGCTTGTCCAGCTGAGGCTCAGGTGACCCCTGACTGTAATGCTGATGCACTCACCCGGCTGGCTCTATGGGTCTGATCACACCTTGCTGACCAGAAGCTTTATTTACGCCTGCAGTTGTGAAGAAATTAACAAAAAGGAAGAGAGTGACGGACGGGGCCCAACGCAGGTGGGTTCAGCCCATTCTCCTGGACCCATGTGGACGGCCAATCTTCCCCATCGAGTTAGACGGCCTGACGGTTTACAGTCTGGGAGAGGTGAGGATTCGGAATCTTTTTACAGATCATGTATATAATGGTTTTGTACGTATTTTCTTTTATTACGGTTTGTGCTATAGAAGAAATAAGAAATAAACATTTTATAATTATTTAATTTTTTTAGTCTCCTAAATATAAAGTATTTGCATATGAATATTTTGTAGTCTTCTCTCCGGCCAGCAGATGGCGCTCTAGTTCTTTCCTCATGTAAAACATTGTTTCCCTCTCAGCTGTGCTAGAAGAATCTCATTGTTTGCTCAATGAGCACAGCAGTGACTCCTCCTCTCTTATAAGAGGGTGCATTCTGCATTATATAGTCTCACCAATAACCTATTCATGTTTTCACAACAGATTGTACCTGACCGGAGTGGTTTCCATGACAGGAGCGCCATTTATCCGGTGGGTTTCTGCAGCACAAGAGTTTACGCCAGCATGCGGAACCCGGAGCAGAAATGTCTCTATACGTGTCAGATCAAAGACGGCTGGACCCGGCCTCAGGTGATCAGTTTACCTTTATTGCAGAATTTATATGTAACGTAGTATTACGTGAAGTGCCAGCATACGACCCGCTCATTGACTTTATAAAGCTTGTGGGATCTTCTGGTTGTGCAGCGTTAGAGGGTAGTTCTGGCTGATGAGCGCTCGCCATTTGTGAGCGTTATTTGAAATGTTCAGTGCAGGGCTGCAGTATTGTGTACGGACCATGCACCGGCTGCGGTGGGACAGGCGGGAGGGACTACTGGGATGTGTAGTGCCTGCATCACTTTTCTGTAATATGAGATCTACCACCGAACTAGGTCTTATTTTCGGGGTAGGTCTTATATTAGAGAAATGCCTGAAGATAGTGCTAGGTCTTATTTTCGGGGTAGGTCTTACTTTCGGGGAAACACGGTACCTGCCCACTGCCATATTACAGGAATGAGAAGAGTGGGACTAGAGTGGTCAGGTGACCCCTTTAGAAATATAAGATACCTAAAGGTTGTTCCTTGTCCAAGTGTAGGGGGGAAATGATCTCTTTGATGCCAGGAGTTCAGCTTTAAATGCAGTGAAATTACAGGTGGCAGCTGGAAGGTCAGTGTACAATTGTGGTTGATGCAACAGAACTTTTCACAGCCTGAATGCAGCCTGAATGCATGCCTGTTCTACATACAGCCACTAGAGGGAGCACTTACATGTATATATGTATGGTTCAAAGATATGAAAGTCAAACAATTATTTTGAAATCATTGTATTGAATGTTGTCACATATAAGCAAGATAAAGCCTGAACATCAGGACCAGACTAATCTCTCTGTTTTATGTCACTAGTTTGAGATCGTCCCTGAAGATGACCCTCAGAACACGATATCTGGCAGCTCAGCTGTAGAATGTCATAATGCGCTACTGAAGAGCATCGGGGCTGTGCAGTGAGTACATTACATTTACACAAAGATCTGTCCTTTACTACAGGGACTCAGGCACCTATGGGTAATGGACTCTTCCACGACCAGGCAACAGCAGGTATACTCACCCCTGGCGCTATGGGCAATGGGATCTCCCACCAGCAGGGGCAGCAGGTAACCTCAGTCTGGGCGCTATGGGCAATGGGATCTCATCAGCAGGGGCAGCAGGTACCTTCTGTCTGCGTCTCAGGCCCTGAGGAAGAGCTGATATTATGTTGTGGATTATATGTCTCTTACCATAAACAGTCTTCATTCTGCTTTTTGTTGTCTTCTTCATGTCACGGGATTTTTCTGAGTAACTGTAACCTGACCTGAAAATGTAATAATTTGCTAGAAATCTAAAATGTTAATTGTAAGTAGTCGCCTGAAAAATCTACATTTTTAGTCCTGATTCCTTTTATCCAGCCGCATCCTCCTCAGATTTCTATTCCTGCCTGTGTCCCCACTGTGGAAATTTGACCGAACTTCTGTCCCGGTGGCCTTACAGAAGTGAAGCAGAATCTCCTACAGGGGCAGAGACGGCAATAAAAACCTTACTGAGGTTCTAACCATTCCGCATTCCAACACTATATATGGACGGAGTTGAGCTTTCATTCACATGGAATGGTTAGTTCCTTTTATATGATTCCATATGTGACGCTTTCTATGATTCTGATGGTATGCGGGAGAAACTGGACATTAAAGTGACATTAAACCCTATTTTGCCCAGCAAAGTTCATATTTGTAGTTATACAGAAATAGGTTTCCCGAGTCGCTCCATTGACCTCCACTTCTGGCTCTGCTTACATTTCCAGGTTTTACTGGTGATCTGCCCCAAAGTTTCCCCCCCACAAACAGAACAGAATGGTTCCTGGTGGTCTTTGCTGGTCATGCACAGAGCAACTTACGTGCAGTGCCAGCTGGGAGGTGCGATTGCTTAAAGTGACATTAAACCCTCAGATTTTTTAACATAAACCAATACTGTAATGTGCGCCTTACTGTAATCCATGGTTGTTTCCCTTCTCTTTGCTGCTCTTCCTTTTTAAATCCTCATCTCTTCTCATACTGGCGGAGAACTTCCCTTCCTGTAGTGCTGGCTCAGGTTGTGAACCTGCACACAGACACCATGAATCCATTCCTGAGACAAGGCAGTCTGCTGCAAAACAGAAGTTCTGCCCAGCATGAGAAGAGATACGGATTTAAAAGGAAGAGCAGCAAAGAGAAGGGAAACTACCATGGATTACAGTAAGGCGCACATTACAGTATTGTTTTATGTTAAAAAAATCTGAGGGTTTAATGTCACTTTAAGCAATCGCACCTCCCAGCTGGCACTGCACGTAAGTTGCTCTGTGCATGACCAGCAAAGACCACCAGGAACCATTCTGTTCTGTTTGTGGGGGGAAACTTTGGGGCAGATCACCAGTAAAACCTGGAAATGTAAGCAGAGCCAGAAGTGGAGGTCAATGGAGCGACTCGGGAAACCTATTTCTGTATAACTACAAATATGAACTTTGCTGGGCAAAATATTTGTTTTAGCCTAATGTACCATGTCTTCCTTTACCGTCCCCTCCCAGGCACTGCAGCTCACTGTGGGAGGGTTTCAGTAACGGAGGCTGTGCTGTCAATTCAAAATGCAGTGGGCTGGACCAGGTGTGGCTAGGTGCTGATTGACGAGCTACAGGCTAGTTAATCAGCAGTGACCATGCTGACAGCCCCGCCCCCTGCAAGATCTTCCTATGCCGTTCTAGTCCAGGCAGGTACAGCCTAGGTGAGAGTGGCAACTTTTCTCTGAATTCAGGAGCAGTGCAGCATTGTCGTCGCTCCATCACTGGCAGGATCAACGGGTATTTGTAGGACTTTACCGAGAAAACTGTGAGTGCAGATGGCCTTAGGAGTATGGCTGCAGTTTAGTAGGAGGCCATAGTTCTACTTTAACGCGTTGCTTCTCTTTCCAGAGGACGGAGGGTCTCCGCCCCAGAAAACACCGGGCCGTACTTTTTTGGGTTTACGCACCCCACCATTCAGAACTTAATACAAAGCTGCCCCGGAGCTCGCAAATGTTCAAGGTGAGATTGTCCTGTATACAGAAACTATGGTACTGTCTGTGAGGCCAAGGAAGGGAAATGGAAGAGAGACAGAGACAGGTCCTCTTCTTACTGACGGAGTCCATGTGGAATTTTCTGGCTTCAATAGAAAGGTTAAAAATATCAGAAATGGCCCCATCTGTCAGTCCAGTGTTCTTATCAATGATTGGACCCCCCAGATACACAATCGTATTTTATTAAAGCTATACACTAGGGATGCACCGATACCAATAATAGTGTCGGTGCCGATGGCGAGTATTTGGGCGAGTACTCGTACTCGCCCAAATGCTCCGATACCTAGCCCGATACTTCTGGTATCAGGAAGCCAGCTCCATGGTCCCTCGTCCCTCGACGAGGCAGCCGGCTTCCCAGCCAATCAGGAAGCCGAGCAGAGTGTCACTGCATTCCTCCCGACTTTCTGATTGGCCAGTTTCATGCTCCCTCGTCACCTGATGACGAGGGAACGTGGAGCCGGCTTCCTGGGCAATCGGGAAGCCCGTCGCTGTGTAATGATGCGCTGCCCGGCTTCCCGATACCAGAAGTATACACTGTGCCCGGCTTTCTGGCCAATCAACAGGTGATGAGGGAGCATATAGACGGCTTCCCTGCTAATCGGGAAGCCGGGTAGCGAGTCATTACACCGCCTGGCTTCCTTAATGGGACTTCCTGTATCGGTATTCGGTATCGGCGAGTACCGGGAAAAAATTATCGCTACTTGATACCAAAAAACTGGTATTGGTGCATCCCTACTATATACAGTGATTCCTAAACCTGTTTCCACATTTCTCAGAGAAGACCCATGCACTCCAGCAGGCGTGCGTTATAGTATGAGGAGCTTTGGGTTACGTTGTCACAACACGTGTGTTACCTTTTTATTGTCCTTTTGTTTTATTTGATCGATTTGAAATGTTACAAAATGTTATTCAATTCTGTGCACTACAGCGTGTGGCAATGCACACAGAAAGTCTGGTTTAGGTGTATGGGGTTTTTTTTTTTGTCCTTTTTGTCCATTGATGAGACAATTTCCTGCTTCCTGTCCCAGAAACACAACAGGAAGTGAAAGGAAAAGAGGGGAATTCCCCTCTTGGTTAAAAAAGGAATAATGTCACCAGCACACAGTTTTTGTAAATCAATGATCCATTTTAATGGCACATTGCCGTTCTTGGCAAATTGCCATTGCTAAGCGCTTTGGGGGCCACAAGGGGTCCCCTTCATCAGGCTCAGAATTCAGGCTCTCTCATTCTGAGCCTGATGAAGGGGATTAAAATGGATCATTGATTTACAAAAACGTTGTGCTGGTGACATTATTCCTTTTTTCTGTGATATACACGGTGCCTTCAGTGGTCACTACGAGCACCCATCCAGTTTTGGGGTCTTTTTGGTAAGGAGTGCAGCAAGACATCCTGTTTCTATAAGCTTCCCCTCTTGGTTGTCACAGGAGCAGAGGCCCCCCATTGGGAAGACCCCACCCCCCCCTGACCGGGCCTCCTCCGCTCCCT